ATTCCCTGTTTTCAGGCGGTAGAGAGCTATTGAGAATAATGGGCATAAGCTCCACTTTAATGTCTCTGATCAGTTGATCAGAACTTCTGTTTTTCTGCTTAAAGATTCTCTCATTACGCTCCTTCCATATACAATATATTGTAGAAGAAAATGCCATTCTTAATTTAACTCTTTGTTTGAAACCTTTTCCCCTCAATCTGTAACTATACCAGTTCAAAAGCTAATTCCATTTACAAGTTCTCGAATTGTATTGGAGCCAATCCATGACCCCATTCCAGATATCCTTTGAGTAGTTGTATTCAAAGAACAAGTGGTTTCAGTTCTCTATATCAGCCCTTGAGCATAAACAACAACAGTTGGCCTAAAACTAGGGTTTGGAGTAGGCTAGACAGAGCATTGATAAATGATGCTTGGATTCATTTGCTCAATACTAGCCATGTGGATTTCCTTCTGCCTAATATCTCAGACCATTCTCCAGCTTTGGTCTCAATATATGAGGACATATCTCTGGAAAAAAAGCCTTTTAAGTTCTTTAAAATGTGGATTGATCATCCAAGCTTCTCTCCAACAGTCTCAAGAATCTGACAAACAACAATTGAAGGGTTCACCATGTATTCAGTTTATGCTAAGCTGAAACTGCTAAGAAGTGCTCTGAAAGATTTGAACAAAAAGCACTTTTATAATATTAGTGAACAAGTCAAAAGGGCTAAAAATGCTTTGGATAATGTACAGGAAAGTCTTCAAGCTTGTCCTCTTGATCCTAGCATTATTAATCAGGAGAAAGTTTGTCTTTCAAATTACAACAAACTATTGGAATGTGAGTTATCCTTTTATCAACAAAAGGCCAGGATAGCTCGGAGCTTGCAAGGTGATAGATGCACCAGTTTTTTCCATTCCATAGCAAAAACAAATAGACATAAAAACATGATTGCTATTCTTTACAACAACAGAGGAGAAAGGATAAATGATTGTGATGGAATTGCAAATGAATTGGTTTCTTTTTATAGAGGTCTTATGGGTTCTGTAGTTGATACCTCTCCTCTTGACATAAATGTTATAAAGTCTAGGCCTTGCCTCACTGATGCTCAAGCCAAAGAATTATCAAAACCTATCACTAATGAAGAAATTAGAGCTGCTATGTTCTCAATGGCAGATAACAAGTCACCAGGCCCTGATAGGTATAGTGTAGTTTTCTTCAAAGCTGCCTGGGAAACCATTGGAGACGAAGTCACTTCAGCAATTAAGGATTTCTTTAGGACTGGGAAACTACTGGGTATAGTTAACTCCACATCAATTACTTTAATACCCAAAGTTCAATGCCCAAAAACACCTTCAGATTTCAGGCCTATCTCCTGTTGCAACTGTATATATAAGTTCATCACGAAAATTCTAGCCAACAGGATTACAAAAGTTTTAGGATGTTTGGTGAATGAAGCTCAAAGTGCTTTCGTAAAAGGGAGATTGATCTCAAGTAACATCATGTTGGCCCATGAACTGGTTAAAAACTACAACAGGAAAAATCTTTCCCCAAGGGTCATGCTAAGTGTGGATATCAGGAAGGCTTTTGATACAATTAGTTGGAAATTTTTGTCAGATATGCTTGTGGGGCTGGGTTTTTCTATGGCCATGATTAAGTGGATTATGGCTTGTATTACTTCTCCAAAATATTCTATCTCCCTTAATGGTTCCCTTCATGGATACTTCAAAGGAGAACGTGGTCTTAGGCAAGGGGATCCTCTCTCCCCTTACCTGTTCATCCTGGGCATGGAGTATTTATCAAGGAGCTTGGATCTTTTGAAGAATGATAAATCATTCAAATACCATCCTAAATGTGCAAAATTGAGAATCACACACTTAATTTTTGCTGATGACCTGCTTTTATTCTCCAAAGGTGATATGAATTCAGTGTCAAAGTTGCACAAATGTCTCAGAGATTTCAGCAAAGTTTCAGGTTTAGAAGCCAATACAGATAAGAGCTCAATATTCTATGGTGGTGTTGATGAAAATGTCAAGTCTTCCATTCATAATCTGTTGGGTTTCTCTACAGGAACATTTCCAGTAAACTACTTGGGAGTTCCCCTTATTTCCAAAAGATTGACCTACATGGATTGTAATTCCCTCTTCACAAGAATTATAGGTCAATTCAAAAAATGGTCAAAGAACAGACACCTCTCATATGCTGGTAGATTACAAGTAATCAAGAGTGTCATTCTTGGAATTCAAAACTTTTGGACCTCTAACTATATCCTACCCATCTGTGTGTTGAAGAAAGTTGATGAAATTTGCAGAATGTTCTTGTGGGGGAAAAATGACCAAGTTTTCAAGGCTCCTCTTGTGTCATGGGAGAAAGTGTGTATGCACAAAAAACAAGGAGGTCTGGGGATTTTTTCTGCACAAAGGTGGAATATTGCTTTAGGCCTGAGATGCATCTGGCATATACACACAAACAGAGAGTCTTTGTGGATCAAATGGGTGCATGAGACCTATTTAAAACAAAGAGATATTTGGAAAGTCAAATCTAAAATTGGAGATTCATGGATGTGGAAGCAAATGATCAAAACTAGAGACAAAATTATGGCAGACTGTGGAGGTGAAGATAATTTGAAGCAGCTTATAAATTCATACCACTGTAATGCTAAACTCAGAATTTCAGCTCTATACTATGCAATATCCCCTGGTTCTCAAGCAGTATCATGGTGTAATGTGGTCTGGGGGGGTTTAAGCATCCCTAAACATTCTTTTATATGCTGGTTAGCCTTGCAGGATATACTCCTCACCCAGGACAGGCTACTTAGAAGAGGGATCATTGATTCAAATAATTGTTGTCTTTGCGCAGGAACTGGATCTGAAACCAGGAACCATCTCTTCTTTGAGTGTGCTTATTCTAGTGAAGTCTAGAATAATATCATAAACTGGCTAGGGTTCAATTGGAGGTCTTATAATTGGCAACAAATCATTCATTGGTTCTCTATCAGGTTGCGAGGGAAGGGGTTTACACAAAAGTTGAAAAAGATGGTGTTTATTGCAACTATATACAGCATATGGAAGGAAG